TCTGCAGCCCCCTGAAAGATTTGGTTGATGTCCGCCTGGAGCCTTGCAGTGTCTGCAATGGAAGACACTGTCATCAGATTCGGGTGTCATCTGCAAAGGAAGACACGGTGCTGTGGGCTGACATCCTTGTCTATGTCGGATATGAGGATGAGGAACAAGATGGGAGCGATACTGTGCCTTGTGGAACAGAGCTTTTCACCGTAGCTGCCTCGGACTTTACTCTGTTGACGACTACTCTCTGTGTTCTGTTAGTGAGGAAATTATAGATCCATCGACCGACTTTTCCTGTTATTCCTTTAGCACGCATTTTGTGCGCTATTACGCCATGGTCACACTTGTCGAAGCTTTTGCAAAGTCTGTATATATTACATCTGCATTCTTTTTGTCTTCTAGTGCATTTAGGACCTTGTCGTAGTGATCCAATAGTTGAGACAGACAGGAGCGACCTGTTCTAAACCCATGTTGCCCTGGGTTGTGTAACTGATGGGTTTATAGATGGGTGGTGATCTTGCTTCTTAGGACCCTTTCAAAGATTTTTATGATATGGGATGTTAGTGCTATTGGTCTGTAGTTCTTTGCTGTTGCTTTACTGCCCCTTTGTGGAGTGGGGCTATGTCTGTTGTTTTTAGTAACTGTGGGACGACCCCCGTGTCCATGCTCCCTCTCCACAGGATGGAAAAGGCTCGTGATAGGGGCTTCTTGCAGTCTTGATGAAACACAGAGTTCCATGAGTCTGGCCCTGGGGCAGAGTGCATGGGCATGTCATTTATCGCCTGTTCGAAGTCATTTGGCGTCAGGATAACATCGGATAGGCTTGTGTTAATCAAATTTTGTGGCTCTCATAAAAAATTCATTTTGATCTTCGACTCTCAGTCTGGTTAGCGGCTTGCTAAAAACTGAGTCATATTGGGACTTGAGTAGCTCACTCATTTCCTTGCTGTCATCTGTGTAGGACTCATCTTGTTTAAGTAGGGCCCAATACTGGACGTTGTTCTCGATTTTGATTTGGCATAGGAGAAGAAATACTTTGGGTTTCTTTCGATTTCATTTATGGCTTTTAGTTCTTCCCGCGATTCCTGACTCCTAAAGGATTCTTTTAGCTTAAGTTCGATGCTTGCTATTTCTCTGACCAGTGTCTCCCTACGCATTTCAGATATATTGACCTCTTTTAGCCGCTCTGTTATTCTTTTCCGTCGCCTGTAAAGGGAGCGCCTGTCTCTTTCTATTTTACATCTACTCCTCCTTTTTCTTAGAGGAATAAGCCTTGTGCATACATCGAGTGCCACCGAGTTAATCTGTTCTAGGCATAAGTTTGGGTCTGTGTTGCTTAGTATATCTTCCCAGCTTATATCGGTTAGGACTTGGTTTACTTGGTCCCACTTTATGTTTTTTGTTATTGAAGTTGAATTTGGTGAATGCTCCCTCGTGACTAGTCTCATTATGTCGGTCTGGGGCTCCACGCATACATGTCTGAACCTCAATTATGTTGTGATCTGAGTATAATGTTTTTGATATGGTGACATTTCTTATCAGATCATCATTGTTAGTGAAGATGAGGTCTAGTGTATTCTCCAGTCTAGTAGGCTCTATTATTTGCTGGTTTAAATTGAATTTTGTGCAGAGATTAAAAGCTCGTGTGAGTGTGAGTTTTCATCAGAGCTGCCTCCTGGTGTTATTACTGCAACAATATTATTTGCTATATTCCTCCATTTTAGGTGCCTTAAAGTGAAATCCCCCAGAAGCAAGATGTTGGGTGCAGGAGCTGGAAGATTTTCCAGACAGTGGTCAATTTTTAACAGCTGTTCCTGGAATTGCTGGGATGTTGCATCCGGAGGCTTGTAGACTACCACAATGACTAGGTTTTGGTTCTCGACCTTTACTGCTAAAACTTCCACTACATCATTTGAGGCATTAAGCAGTTCTGTGCAAACAAGTGACTCTGCAATGTACAGGCCAACCTCCCCCCCCCCCTTTTGCCTGTTCACTCTATCACATCTGTATAGGTTGTAACCTGGGATCCATATTTCGTTGTCCAAGTGATCCTTTATGTGGGTCTCAGTGAAAGCCGCGAACATTGCCTTTGCCTCTGCAAGCAGTCCACGGATGAAAGGTATTTTGTTGTTTGTTGCTGGCTTTAGACCCTGTATATTTGCAAAGAAGAATGTTATCGGACTGGTGGTATTGTTGGTACTGGGGGGGGGATTTTTTTTCCGGCATTAGTATCTGTATCTGTTGGTTTGGAGTGGAGGCCATCGACTGTGGTTCCACTCCAGGAATGACTGGATTTGGTGTACGATTTCTGCCATTTCCTGCCAGTTTTTTTTCCTTCCTGACACTAAAAAACCTCCCCCTCTTGACTAGAAAATAGATACCCACTTAAAACAATACAGGAAACTAAAACAACAGCCAGCTCTGCCCCCAGCCCCTAGTGCTGCTCCAGACTCAGCCCCCAGCCTTAGTGCTGATTCAGACTCAGCCCCATCCCTACTGCTGATCCAGACTCAGCCCCCATCCCTAGTGCTGATCCAGACTCAGCTATAGTCTCTACCACAGGCACCACTACAGCCTTAAAAAAAATCCACAATAACACAAAACCCATTACAAAACCCATTACAGATGTAGAAGAGGAAGAGTCCTCTGAGGAAAATGTTGGCTTACTTCTAGAAACAGCTGATGGTGGTGTTGTCTCTGGCTTGGTTACTGAAAATAATAGTGCCGTTCTAGAAACTGCATAAATTAAGAATGCATCTACCACAAATTTTAGCCAAAAAAAGCAAAAATGGTGCATATTTTATGCTTGAGACATCTGCAATTTTGAGCATCTCAAAATATGCCGTGACCTCCTGTTACTAAAGGAGTGCGTCGTTCTACCTCATGCAAATTTGTCCACCTCCTCAAAAAATAATATTACAACACCAACTGCCCCGCATAACATTTAAAAGGACCAGGAGGCACAGACCTCATAAAATAAGCCATAGTAGTTACGACAACCCCACTCCAAGCGATTTTTTAGTGTCAGTAAACGAAGAAACCCTGGACTGGAGGCACAGCCAGTGGCCCGCCATGACCCTCCAGAATCACAACTATTAATGCCAATAACAAAATTACCCCAGCAAACACACAGTACAACTTCATTTATATTTGCTAATATATAGGGCCATAAACCATCTACGTAAAATAAAATACGTGTCATCAATGGACTTCTAGAGAAGTCAAATGCGATGTTTGCAGCTTTCACAGAGACCCCACACAAAAGATTACTTTGGATAACAGGGTACAACTTTCTTACATGCAATACAAAGAACAGGCAATAAGGGAAGTGTCGGCTCATTTCCACAGTTGCTAAAGACCACTAATGATGTAGTTAAGTTCTAGTAATAAAGATCAAGAACCAAAACTTACTCATCATGGTTGTATATAAGCCACCAGATGCAACCTCCCAACAGTTCAAGGAACAATTATTGAAAATTGATTACTTTCTGGAAAACCTTCCAGCCTCAGTCTATGACGTATAAAATGGAAGAATGTAGCAAATAATGTTATAACAGAGAATGTTCCCGGAGGCAGCTCAGATGAAAAGTCACACACACGAGATGCTGAATCTCCACAATAAATACACCCTAAGCTTATAGATAGTGGAGCCAACAAGACTGGAAAACACATTGACCTTATTTTAACAATTAATGAGGATCTGGTAAGAAACATAACAATATCAAAAACAACTAATTCGGCTCATAATTTAACCTCAAATAAAGCGTGAAGCTGATATATTAAAATAACGAAAATATTGAAAAAAAATCGACAAAATGCCAGTGTTGGTCGGTCCTCAGCTGAAGTTTCCCGGAGCTGCCGACACTGACGCCCCCCCCATCCCCACTACCTCAGTCCCGTTACCCTCCTATGGTGAAAGTTGACCCTCCAGAACCTCCTCCATTGAAGATCTCATTTCCCCTGAACCCCCAACCCTTCGAGAACACCCTCCCTCTGAACCCCCTCTCTCCTCCTGAACCCCCTCTCCCTCCGAGACCGCCCTCTCTCCTCCGAACCCACTCCCACTCTTCCCTCAGTACCCTCTCTCTCCTCCAGAGCCAACTTTCTCTCTTTCACCTAGGATTCTCTCTCTCTCTCTCTCTCTCTCTCTCTCTCTCTCTCTCTCTCTCTCTCTCTCTCTCTCTCTCTCTCTCTCTCTCTCTCTCTCTCTCTCTCTCTCTCTCTCACTCTCCTTTAAATGTAAAACCAGCAGCTTAGATATGAAACAAGATTCCGACGTAACGCAAAAGCAGGATTCCTTACTTCATTGCCTACTCCAAGTACTAAAATATCCAAGTTACGGTCCTACGTTCTGTTTGGCTTGAAGTATACAGCAGACTGTACAAGAGTTAGGCATTGTTGCTTTGATTGTGGCTTTAATAATTGCCGAAGTACCTGTAGAGACCTCGGTGAACTTTTAGAAGAATCTTTTGACATTAACAATTTAAAGGGATTTTCAAATGATAATGTTTATATAGACTTGGTTTGACAATATTTGTTTTATTCTTGCTGGTAATTTTTATTGTTTGTTAATTTACCCTTATTTTTATTGTTTACAAGAGCACTGAATGCCAAAAAGCTCTTCATAATTCAAACTACCTCCCTGCTCACCTAGCAGGAAAAAATATATAACTGAGAGTCAGTCAACTGTTGTGGGTTGTATTCTGAGGAAAATGAAACTGAAGTGAGTAATGAACTCCAGATTTACTAAAATCATACATCGGCCACAGCCAATGTGTAAGAAACTCTAGTCCTGCTGGAAGGATTAAAGTAATCAGCAAAAAGTATTCGCACTTTAATGTGTATCTAATAAAAGTAATTGCAAAAAAAATATCTCCTACCCCCAAGTATATTTACATCCCTAGACGACTGTCAGCTACTCACCTGCACGACTCTTTCTTCCAGAGAGTTGCTCACCAACCTGGCCAGGTGAAAGCACCCAAAACCGAGACGAGACTCCGAGTTACCACTGTTGCCACTACCCTTCCAGTGTGTGTTTGAGACAGTGGTGAGTGGCAGCGTAGGTAGCACCAGCAGGAGTTCTGGCAACGGGACATTCCCGGCACTGTACTAGTAATTTCTGGGTCTTCACTGCTGAAATGTTTATTAGTGATAGACACAACAAGAGGGAGTATCTTGTTTACTACACCGGGTGGAAAATGACTGCCTAAACATTATCTTTCATTGTAATACGCAGAAAGTTATTAATATTTTTACTAGGAGAGTCATGTTTACGTGAGCGAAAAGTGACGTTTTTTCATCATAAAATAAAACTGGAGAATCTCTGGCACCCTGACTGAAGCGTCCACCTCTCCCCTGGGGAGTCTCTGCCACCCTGACTGAAGCGTCCACCTCTCCCCTGGGGAGTCTCTGCCACCCTGTCTGAAGCGTCCACCTCTCCCCTGGGGAGTCTCTGCCACCTTGACTGAAGCGTCCACCTCTCCCTTGGGGAGTCTCTGCCACCCTGACTGAGGCGTCCACCTCTCCCCTGGGGAGTCTCTGCCACCCTGACTGAAGCGTCCACCTCTTCCCTCGTGTTACACTGAATTAATAAACAACGAATCGGTGAAAGCCAGTAAAAAATCATTGTCCTCTGTGTCACTGCTTCCATTTTTAACACATCATCCACAGCTACTAATTAGAATGCTAAATGGAATCAAGATCTTTAAAAATTATTGAAAACATTAAACAAATATAAATTTTAAGAAACTATGAGAAAATGGGATACATAAAGTCGGATTCAGGAAAAAACTCGTTTACACGAGAGCTGTTGTGAAAGCTACCGAGAAAGCATACAATGACACTCTATCAGGAGTTTGTGGAAATTTTAGTGCACAACGTCTGTACTTGATCAAGTCTGGACCATATACAGTTCGAGCGACAGAGGCAGTAAGGCAGCAAGCTAAACGCTGGAACGTCAGGCCAGAGAGAGAGAAACAGTTGTTTAGTGATCAGGGAAACGCCATTTACTGAGTCCCTCGCCCGAGAAGACTCAGTGTACCGTAAGTAACCTACTTCTGCACCACCGTCGTGTTATACTGTGACCATTGTTGTGTTATACTGTGACCATCGTTGTGTTGTACTGTGACCATTGTTGTGTTTTACAGTGACCACCGTTGTGTTATACTGTGACCACCGTCGTGTTATACTGTGACCACCGTTGTGTTATACTTTGACCACTGTCGTGTTATACTGTGACCACCGTTGTGTTATACTGTGACCACTGTCGTGTTATACTGTGACCACCGTCGTGTTATACCGTGACGGTACTGCAGTTAAGTTAGACGTGAACAAGTCTTGTAGCTCTGCCGGAACGGGTTTCGCTTATTTCCGCTTAGCCCATAAAGCTGATCAGAAAAGCTGCAAGAAATTGTTGTAAGGCGACAAGAAAGCATTTTTTTCTCATTTGTCATGCGTGTTTGTTGTGTATATCTGATTGTCATATCTGTCATGTATGTCTGATACATGCTTGTCATGTCTTTCAGCCGTCCAGGGAACAGTATACGTAAATGTATATTAATATTCACCTTAAAGGAACCGCTGTGATAAGTTATGGTAGGAATTTATATTCATCTACAAAGCTGTCATAAGTGTGTTTGTATTATATGAATGAAATGAAGATGACTAGACTGAGTCAGTGACCGTAAAGAGCTACAATAACGGTAGCTACTTCCTCCCTCCTGCTTGCTAGCATCCTATCTCTGGAACATCGAACGCAATTGTTCCATGATGTATACACACAGACACTATATATATATATATATATATATAATATATATATATATATATATATATATATATATATATATATATATATATATATATATATATTAATAATAATAATAATACGTCATATCTGCACTGTATTTCCGACAGGCAAGATGGTGTGGTGCGGCAGAATGCGAGTATGGTGGCTGATGATAGTGGCAGCGACGGTGGCACCTCAGAAGAACCAGGAAACCTTCCTGCAGGAGATGATGTCCGGCCTGAGAGAACTTCCAGTCATCGGCAATGTTTTACGGGCGGCCGTCCATCCCATCTACCGGCCCTTCATCAAGCAGTTTCAGTCCAGGATCACAAGCAGTCAGTTGATTTCTCAACGAGATGTGTTAATGTTCGCTTATTTTTTTTCCTTACCAATTACATTTAAAAGAGTTTAACTAAGCATTTCGTTTATGCTCCACTTCAGGCATAAAGTAACTAAGTTTATTTAGGTTTATAGGGAATATGTACGCTTGAAAGAATATATACGCACTTACCATCTTAGACTATACACGTATACCAAGATAAATACAAACCTACACTTAACGAATCCTATCGGATTGGTCTGGGATTCCCTCGCAACTTTGGTTTTAGAGACTCGTTTAGTATTTCTTTTCCCTCTTGTTCATATCTCTTTTAATATTAGTTAGTAACCTGACTTTCCTCTTTTAATGCGCCTGCAAATTCCTTTCTTCTCTTTCAATTCATCCATTCTCGTCTCTATTCATTCACCTGGCATCATTTTTATGTGATCTAATTTCTCTTTGGGAAACATATGTTCTATGGGCAACTTGTACATCATTTACTAAAAACTAACCAGGTTATCTTAGTGCTAAAAAGGTGCTCCATTACCCCATTACAATCTGCCGAGGGACAATCTGCGACATATACCGCATTATTCTTGCTATTATACTTCTAGGCACTTCATTGATCTCTAGATTAATTACCAGGGTGTCATTGTCGACCGGTTATCCAGTGGAAGGTTTCGGTTAGATGACCAAAAGCTTCAGTGGCAGGTCATCATGAAACTAGGACCCGCGTCAAGAAACGCTTGTCCTGTTTCCTGACAAATCTTACTTAGCCTAACCTTGAAACTTAAACATTAACGTTATAAAGTATGACTGGTGTAAATTTACCGACAATCAATAAGTAAATGAACACATCTGTAACGTTTAAATACTTATTTAGGTAACGTTTCTCTCGTCAAGATCTTTGTAAAGGCTCAGCCAGGTTTGACTAAGCTTCTAGCGAGCAAAACTTAGCCTAAATGTAGATTTAAATGTTCCAAATGTTCTTTTTATCAAAATTAATTTATGAAATGTTTCGTTGACGTGTATATACACTAAACTTTTCGACTACCTTCATACATTTCCCAGTCAAGATTTATCTCCCCATTATATAGGAGAGGGTGAGGATGAATTCAGCGAAGTATGTTATGAGGAGCTGGGCTGCCTACTTACACATGAGGATTTTTTCCACGCTATCCACCGACCACTCAACCTTCCTCCTAATACTCGGAAGGAGATCAACGTGGTATTCACAGTCCACACGCGGGAGGACCGACAGGGCACCTCAGTGGAGGGTGTCAATATCAGTAAGGTTCTCAACACCTCCTTCAACCCCAAGAGAAAAACTAAGATTATTATACATGGATACCTGGAGACCAACACAGAAACATGGATGTGGGTAAATAAAAACACTTTAAATTCATTTTTTAATAATAGTGTAGTTTTCAACTCTTGAATATGATAGCTTTCTGCTTTTCTGTCCTTGTCTCATCCAAAAAGGTAATGCATAGTCCTTAATCTAGAGTCCAGACAGAAGTAGAAAGATAGTTCATCTCTGCAGATACCCTCTGTGTGGACTCTCTGCTCTGTCTTTCCCATGTACTCCAAGATTGTACGACAAGCTATGAAAGAATAAGAGAAAGATCACTAGTATATGTACAACTTTTCCTACCAGGACATGGTTCGTTCCCTTTTGCTATACGACGACTTCAACGTGGTGACGGTGGACTGGTCTGGCGGGTCTCAGGCCCTATACTCTCAGGCCACAGCCAACACTAGAGTGGTGGGGCTCGAGGTCGCCCACTTAATCAACTGGCTCAAAGACAACGTTGGTCTTGACCCAACTGATGTCCACATAATAGGTCATTCACTTGGCTCTCACACTGCAGGTAGGTGTATCATACAAGCTACTGTCTTGACACACTACAGATAGGTACCTCATACAGATTACTCTCATGACACACTGCAGGAAGGTGCATTAAACATGTAGGTTACTGCCTTTATACACTGCAGGAAGGTGCATCATACAAGTTTTTCTTACAAAAGGAGATTTTTGGTGAATCATGTTCCTGTAACCGCTGCAGCTTTGTACTAACTGCCACAGGGTATGCTGGAGAGAGGGTGTCCAAGCTGGGAAGGATCACCGGGTTAGACCCAGCTGAACCATTCTTCCAGTACATGCCACCCAGCGTCCGTCTGGACCCATCCGACGCTCTCTTTGTGGACGTTATCCACACTGACGCAGACTCCATCTTCAACCTGGGTGTTGGTATGTAGTGCACTCAAGTATGTGTTCTTTTTAATGGCTGAGAAAAAAATCACAAAATTGTGGATGCTTTATTTATTAACAAACTTTGTTATGATAAGATTAGGCATTGGTTATAAATGGTAGGGTCGTAACGACACGTTGTGGTTGTTTAGAACATTTATTAAAGGAAATGTTTCACCACAAGTGGTTTTTCAGTCCTGAGTGGTTTATTTAGTCCTGAGTGGCTTATTCAGTCCTGAGTGGCTTCTTAGTTCCGAGTGTTTTTTTCACTCTTGAAAAAACTTACTAAAGGACACGTTTTGCAATGAATGGCGTCTTCACTAAATGAATTTAAACACATTAGTGAGATGTGACGAATGGTTTTGAAAAACGACAAGTTGAATATCGAGACACTTATGCAACATATGGGAATCTTTATTCAGGAAACGCTTCGCCACACAGTGGCTTCATCAGTCCAATACAAAGAAGGTGTGAAGAGAGGAGGAGTTTGAGGTAATCAGTCCATCATCGACTCCAGGCTGAGGGACTGATTACCTCAAACTCCTCCTCTCTTCACACCTTCTTTGTATTGGACTAATGAAGCCACTGTGTGGCGAAACGTTTCCTGAATAAAGATTCCCATATGTTGCATAAGTGTCTCAATATTCCACATTAGTGAGAGTTCCCTTGGCAGTGGACCTCCAAAACATAGTTTATAAGTTGCTGATGAAACTGGGAGGTTCGTCATCATGAAGAAATCAACTACGGCTGTGCTGTGACGCCTGACCTACGGTTTAGAGAGAAAACTTTGAACGATGTTTCAGCCCATCCTGGACTATTATCAAGTCCTGGACTTGATGATAGTCTAGAACTGCACGAAACGTCATCTAATATTTCTCTCTGTATTGTGGGTTACTTGTTAAGTGTTCCATCCACAATATTGTTTCAGCCACCGTACTGTTCCATCTACAATATTGTTCCAGCCACCGTACTGTTCCAGCCACAGTATTGTTCCAGCCACCGTACTGTTCCATCTACAATATTGTTCCAGCCACCGTACTGTTCCATTCACAATATTGTTCCAGCCACCGTACTGTTCCAGCCACAGTATTGTTCCAGCCACCGTACTGTTCTATCCACAGTATTGTTCCAGCTACCGTACTGTTCCAGCCACAGTATTGTTCCAGCCATGGTACTGTTCCAGCCACGAAATTGCGGCTTATTCTTCATGGTTCTGCTATGGATTCTTAAAAGTCATGTTGTTATGCAACAGAACAGGAGAAACCAACTTTGTTTTCATGTTGCCGATTTATCAGAGCCACAAAGCCTATTGTGGGAATGTTGTTCTCCATTATGGTCCTAAATTCCCAGGTCCGTAAGCAAGAATTTCATTATCACAGAAAGCCACTTGCTTGCTTCATTACAGGATAATGCTAGTAGTAAGTATAAGTATTAGTGAGTATTTTAAACTCGCTGACAGTCTAGCTGAGCTCAGGTGTGTTTCCGCAGGTTATGGGTTAAGGCAACCAGTAGGTCACCTTGACTTTTACCCCAACGATGGTCGGAGTCAACCCGGTTGTGACTCCCTCAGTCGCGTCCCCCTGACGGCTCTTACTGACGGCCTCAGCCTCTACGAAGGTCAGTCACGATTTTTTTTTACTTTAAGGTCGTACCGTCGTAAAAAATTCCTAATGTTCTAGATTAACACACATTAAAACACCAGGAATAATTTTACAATAAACTACATCTAATTATATATATATATATATATATATATATATATATATATATATATATATATATATATATATATATATATATATATATATATATATATATATATTATATATATATATATATATATATATATATATATATATATATATATATATATATATATATATATATATATTTTATATATATATATATATATATAGTGTGTTATATAAATACATTTTACAAGGAAAGGAAATATATTTTTACTGAATTAACACATCCAAGATAATATAGCTAATGTTATATAGTTTAGTATTGTTGCACTACTCTTCGCTATGTAATTAATTAATTTTGTGATCTTCTTCACTAACTGGTGGCCGCTTCCTGCAGGTCTGGACGCTGCACAGAAGGAGCTGGTGGCGTGCAACCATTTCCGGGCCCCCAAGCTCTTTACTGACTCTATCCTCTCCCCCTGTCCCTACATGGCCTTCCAGTGTTCCTCATACAAGCTCTACCTGAAGGTGAGCACTTGAAGCGTTGCTGATTTGTCCTTTTACAATTGCCATATTACTTAGTCGTGTTAGTTGATAATATTCTGTATCAAGCACGACAACTGTTGGAATTTCCAAGAATGTTGATTTGAAGGAAATGCCATGTAAGAAATGTTCTGTCGTGTTGAGCTAAGGCAGTAATGACCAGTAATAAGTTAGTGAGAAGACAGAAGACCCGGGTAATCATGAGGCAAGAAACTGTTGTTTAGGATTAGCTACATGAAATTAAGAACATGCAACGAGACAGTATAATGATATGAGTCTTACATACCATACTGCTGGATCACTAATTCAGGAAACACCTTTCACAGTGGTCACAGAAACTGTGTCTGGTTCCGTGAGTTCCACTCCTACAGCCTCACCAGGCTTACATGGTGACTGCCTGATCAGCTTGGCTGTCGGGCTGCCAGTTCGATTCCCACACGATTCCTCTCTCCTCCTAATGTGAAAAGTCCTTAGTGTTGAGGAAGGCCTCTTCTGTTCTCGACAGGTACCCATTTGTAAAACAAATGACAAATAGAAGAGCTAGTATTTTTAATTAAAGCAAAACTGGCGGAACTCCAGCTTCGACATTGTCCCATTTCTTTGACTCACGAAATCGTAATGACGCGATTGCAGACAAACCATGGAACGGGTGGGGCTTGAAGCCATGGTGAGTGAGTCGTAAAATTTCAGACCATTGCGTAAGCCACTAGGCCACCTGATTCATTCATACGATTCACTGGCCATGGGTTAAAATCCCACCCGTTCCATGTTTTTTTTTTTTTTAGGTATAAGAAGAGTTGAAGTATTTATGCTTTTACTACGTCAATTTGGTTATTATTTTTCACTCTGTCCCTAATCAGGGAAAGTGTGTGAGCTGTGGGAAGGACGGAAGCCGCTGTGCTCGCCTGGGTCTTCACGCTGACAAGTGGCCAGGAAGAAATCAGAGCCATGTCGCCCTCTACCTTTCCACCGCCTCTGGGCCTCACTACTGTCGTAAGTCATTAAATGCTTCAGTTCCTTGCAGTTATTATGCTCGTATGGTTGTAAACACTGGCTGGAGACGTAAATAAGACACACACTGTGGGTTATGGTGTTTTACTGTGAAATCATTTTGTCCACCAGAGCCTTCAACATTTCACACAGAGAACAATAAGACATGTATTGATGCTCTCTGTGAGAATTAATAAAATCTCTGGTGAACGAAACGTCTTGACAATAAAATTCCAGGTAAAATATCCAGGTAAACTCCAGGTAAACACGCACTGTGTGTCTTATTTACATAGTGTCTCCATACGTTACCATTGTTTACATAGTGTCTCCATACGTTACCATTGTTTACATAGTGTCGCTATACGTTACCATTGTTTACATAGTGTCGCTATACGTTACCATTGTTTACATAGTGTCGCTATACGTTACCATTGTTTATCATTGACTGAAGATGTTAAAGAGACTTCTGTACTTGACCTAAGATTTTTAAAGCCGGGAAACTTCGAATAGTTTAGTTGTCAGGTTAGGACTAAAGGGAATAATTATTCAATATCATACATTAATTTACGTGAGCACAGGGGATGGGGATAATAAAAGAATATATTATATATGAGGAAAGGAAAAATAAGATATTTGAAGGATAATATAAGAAAACATAACAATGGTACCTCTCTCTCCCTTCCTCCAAATGGTTTTCTTTACGTCCTTGAGTTAATGCTTCAGTTTACGTTTATATTACATTATAACAATACCCATTTTCACTCTACATCATTGCTATGGCCTCACACAGGAAACATGGCCTCACACAGGGAACATGGCCTCACACAGGGAACATGGCCTCACACAGGGAACATGGCCTCACACAGGGAACATGGCCTCACACAGAGAACATGGCCTCACACAGCAAACATGGCCTCACACAGGGAACATGGCCTCACACAGTAAACATGGCCTCACACAGGGAACATGGCCTCACACAGTAAACATGGCCTCACACAGTAAACATGGCCTCACACAGGGAACATGGCCTCACACAGTAAACATGGCCTCACACAGGGAACATGGCCTCACACAGTAAACATGGCCTCACACAGGGAACATGGCCTCACACAGTAAACATGGCCTCACACAGTAAACATGGCCTCACACAGGGAACATGGCCTCACACAGTAAACATGGCCTCACACAGTAAACATGGCCTCACACAGTAACCATGACCACACAGAGAGAGAGATGACCCAGCTAGTCCCAGACTAACTGAGCCTATTCAGTATTGACCAGACACAATGTCCTGACACGACTCTGACTGATCTGATAATACTCTCTTATATCCCACATTATTCATCTTTCGTGCCTTTTTATTTTCGTGTTTTATTTATCTTACATTCATGGAAAGGAGCGCTAAATCCTTAAGGGTCACACAGCTCCTTGGGAAATAGGAGGCAACCAAATTCGATCCGTGGAAAAAAGGTGAAGATCAGTTTCTTGGATCAAGAGCTCCTCACCTCGCTTTAGGGGATATACTTTTTGATACAGTATTGTGAAATTTAAGTTCGTTTTTGTCCCCCATTTCAATTCCTTCTCGTAATTTCAATATAAATATAAAACAGAGTGAAGACTGTATACAGTTCCTGTAGCAACAAATTATGATTTTGTATCTAAATTACATTCTCCTGGCTTCTGAGTAGGTTTTGATCCCTCTCAGTGTACCACTACCGGCTGATGTTGCATCTTGCTGATCCAGACAGAGTGGAAGGAACTCTTCGAGGCAAACTGAAGATCTCTCTTTTCGCTGACGATGGAAGTATCAAAAACTTTGATATCTCACCAGAGTAAGTGAATTCATAAATGAGAATTTCTTTTATTTGTACTTTGCTGTGTTGCTAAATTAACGTTATTTCCGTGTAATGATTTGTAATGGCACATGAATTCAGAATTTTCTGCCTTTCTTCAGAGAATTTCCCCTCTTATCTGAATAGCTCCTGAGGACGCACAAGAATGCTGAGGATCTAGAGCTAAAAATTTCCATTCCCATATGGCTTATTCTGCATGAAAGACTTTATTTGGTGTTTCAGAGCGGCCAGAACTTTCAGTCGAGGAAGAATGTACTATTTCTTTCTGAACCATCCGGAGGACTTGAGCGGTGCCAGAGAGGCTCTCGTCCACTGGACTTATGAAGCTGACATGTTCAACCCTTTGAGTTACTGTGTCATCTTCTGCGACACCAGCCTTCCCCTGGCCAGACTCACCCTCGCCAGTGTCGACCATCTGGCTGCTGGGTGAGACAATCACTTGTTGTCATCCACAACTCATCTTATTGTGATCTGACTTAAGTGATCACTAACAAAAATTCTATTTTAATTTGTCATTGTTGCTCAATGAAATAATAATAATAATAATAATAATAATAATAATAATAATAATAATAATAATAATAATTAATATTATTATTATTATTATTATTATTATTATTATTATTATTATTATTATTATTATTATTATTATTATTATTATTATTATTATTATTATTATTATTATTACATTTTAAAGAAAGTAATATAAAATGACGTTATTACATCTAAAAACTAATATATATATATATTGTGTGTGTGTGTGTGTGTGTGTGTGTGTGTTGTTGTTGTTGTTGTTGTATTAGTAGAAAGATAAAATTACCAGGTTACAGAGAAAAACACAATTCAAGTCACGTTAAAAAAAACGAGAGAATTTCTATAAGTAAGACACTCATATTTTTGTGTGTCAAAAAGGGGCGGGGTTGGCAAGGGGAGAGATCATGAGGGGCAAAACGTGATGTGCCACCAGCGGGGCGCCTGGGTCACAGTGATGGTGAGCTACGGTAAAGGGTGTGTCATCAGCAGCCTGTCTAAACACACACCCATCACACAGAAGTCATCACTCTCTAAACAAAACCAGAGAGGGCTGAATTTTGGCCTCGCCTCCCCCCCTCTCTCTTCAACTTGAATCTGATAGCCAGATAAACGCAACAGGAGGGAGGGAGGAAGATCTCTGTGGTAGCAAGAGGGTGACCTCCTGGTTAATAGAGTGATGCATGGAGCAACAACAGGAAGAAAGGAGCCTAGAAGACCTATCTAGTAGGATGGAACAACAGGAAGCAAAGCTTATCTGACATTATAATCTCAGCATTAATCCCATCTTACGTGGATCTTTCATAGCATTATTTCATCACATCATTAAATATATTCTAAATTAATATTTTAGTTATGTTTTATACCAAGGTTTTGTTAAGCTTGTACACTGCATTAATAAAAGTTTTAAAATGATCGTCTTGGTTCATCCATTACTTCTCCCCCAACCGGGTCTCGGGATCGTTAAACCCCCGGGTTCCCACATGGAACGAAATAGTTCTTGACTTATTTCCAAGTGGTTGTGTTTTGTTCGTCAGGAAAGGGGACAGTTTTTTTTTTTTTTTGTAGGTAAAAGGTCACATAAGCAGAGTTCTAAATACTTAGATTTGGGTTTCATTTTGCATCAAATCCCATCCAGAATCACTGGGATTACTTCCCTGGACAACTTTTGTTGGGATCCTATAAAAAAATGTAACCTGGGCCTCCATTTAAAGTTATATAAATAAAAACCCTTTTTTTTTTTCTCCTCTTTTTTTGTAATGTCTTGTATTTCTCTTTATTCTAGAGCTTTACAATAAATATATATAATTATATATATATATATATATATATATTTAATATAAATATATATTCCAAATTAACCCTTTTTTAAAACCCCTCCTATTCTCGGGCCCATGCTACATGCTGGAAGAGAGCTTATTTTTAATAACAAGATATAACGTAGGGCGAGTTTTAAAAATGAAGAAAGGGCAGATAACGGCACGCTCTTATCCGAAATTCATAGTCTAAAAAGAAAAAATAGAGGGAAAAAAACCACAAGCAAAACTTTTTAGGGTATTTTTCTTCAGATTTCCTCGCCCTTTCCCCCTTTCCCCCCTCGCTATCTCTCTTTCTCTCTGCTTTTACCAAGTTTTTCACACATTCCAGCCCACTAACCCAACGTTTTCTCTCCATCCTCCTGTTTGTCTGGGGAAAGCGATAGCCTAGTTTTCCCTTTCGATGATTTTAATTCCCTTTATCTTTTTCCCAAAAAAATGGGGGATGTGTCCCAACCTCCTCTCCACATGCAAGTGTTATCATTACTAGTAAAATAATCAGCAACACGTAAAACAAAGGGGGTTTTACACCCATGGGAGGGGGTGAAGATCCCCTTCCTAGATCAAAAACCCTCACCCTTAGGACCTTCTTAGGAGTTCACGCACGTGCAGCTCTCTTATGGGGTCACACACCACAAAGACTGACTTTTAAAAATCAAAGTGTCAGTGAGTTTTCTTTGACGTCCCCCTTGTCTCCATGTTATCCGGGTTAATGTCCCACCATGTTTCTCCCTTTTTGCCTCCACCATGTTACTCCAGGTTAATGTCTCCACCATGTTACTCCGGGTTAATGTCTCCACCATGTTACTCCAGGTTAATGCCTCCACCATGTTACTCCAGGTTAATGTCTCCACCATGTTACTCCAGGTTAAAGTCTCCCCATGTTTTCCAGATTTAAAGTCTCCACCTGTTACTCCCGGTTAATGTCCCTCCATGTTACTCCGATTAAGTCTCCACCATGTTACTCCAGGGTTTAATCCTCCACCATGTTATCCCGGGTTAATGTCTCCACCATGTTACTCCAGGTTAATGTCTCCACCATGTTACTCCAGGTTAATGTCTCCTCCATGTTACTCCAGGTTAATGTCTCCACCATGTTACTCCAGGTTAATGCCTCCACCATGCTACTCCAGGTTAATGACTCCATATTACTCCAGGTTAGTATCTTATGTTACTCCAGAGTAATGAACATCAAAATGGTATACAATACCGACAGGTTGTTAGGTAAGACACATATGCAACAGTTAGACAACTTTATTCCGAGAACTTTATTCGGAATAAAGTTGTCTAATGTTCTTGTGCTTACCTAACACTCCAAGTAATATCCCTCCATGTTTACTTTAGATTAAATACAACCTGTCTGGTTTAATATGTCGTCAAAATGGGAAATTGGGTAGTTAAGAAATAAGAATGTAGAACATGCAGAAGGCCTACTGGCCCCCTACGGGGAGGTCCTTTTCAAAACGACCTCTACCTAAACTACCCAACAAATAAATCCCGTACCCCTGACACCAACAAACCCACCCCCCCACTTATTTGTCCCGTCTCTTCTTAAAGCTACCCCAAAGGGTTACCCTTAAACACCCCACTGGGGGATGTTCCCCCACTAAACTCTGTTGAAAACCATTTCTTTCCTATGTCCTTTCTAAATCTAAAATTTTTCCAACTTAATCCATTATTTTTGGTTCTTACCGGTTCGAACCCCCAGTACTTTTTTAATATCTCCCCTTTTTTAGCCTGTCATCCACTTATACCTTCAAAGATATCTCCCCCCCTAAGCCTCCCGGATGGAGATTTAAAGGGTTTAATCATCTTCATACGGGAGGTTCCTTACACAGTAAATCATTTCTCCGTAGTGTTTCTGTTACCTCTTCAGTGTGTATCTTGCCATTAATTTTGTGTCTATACCCAGTGTACCATTAAATCTAGCATCGTTCCTTTATATGGCCACCAGCTTGCATAGCTGGGCAAGGACGCTGATCATTCAGATTGTTGATAATCACCTCTGGATTCCTGGAGACTGAGAGGGGAGTTGGGTAGAGTAGTGTGTTAGAGATGCGGGTGTGGGTAGAGTGGTGAGTGTGATGAATGGTTTGAAAAACTGACAAGTTGAAGATTGAGACACTTATGCAGCATATGGGAATCTTTATTCAGGAAACGTTTCGCCACACAGTGACTTCATCAGTCCAATACAAAGAGGAAGGCGTAAGGAGAGGAGTATGAGGTAATCAGTCCCTCAACCTGGAGTCGATGTGTTCAGTCCATCAATCTTGTAGAATGTACAGCATAGGACCGTAGACGTGGCTTATATACTGTAGTGAGGTGAGGTGAAGCAGGCGAGGCGGGGTCATGTGTACCATCCACTAGTCGAAGTAGGTCTTCGTCCAAAGGTTGAACAAGTGTTGAAGAATTCTTTGTAACAAGATCCCATGATGCTGCAATGTCTGACAGTTGTGATGAATGGGATCTTGTTACAAAGAATTCTTCAACACTTGTTCAACCTTTGGACGAAGACCTACTTCGACTAGTGGATGGTACCCTATGCCCCCGCCTCCGCCTGCTTCACCTCACCTCACTACGTATATAAGCCACGTCACGGCCCTATGCTGTACATTCACAAGATTGAGGGACGAACAAAATCGACCCCAAGGGGGAAATGGAAAAGGTAAACCCTGAACTGACATAATTCTTTTTCCACATCGATCCAGGTTGGGGGACTGATTCCTCATACCCCTTTCCCTTACGCCCCTTTTGTATTGGACTGATGAAGCCACTGTTGGCGAAACGTTTCCTGAATAAAGTTTTCCCAATGCTGCAATAATGTCTCAATTTTAAAACAGAGTGGTGAGTTTGGAGAGAGGGGTGTGGGTAGAGGGGTGAGTGTTGGAGAGAGGGGTGTGGGTAGAGGGGTGAGTGTTGGAGAACGGGGGGGTAGAGTGGTAAGTGTTGGAAGACGGGTGTGGGTAAGTGGTGGTGTTGGAGAGAGGGTGTGGGAGAGTAGTGGGGGAAATTTTCGGGAAAAAAAAATGGTAAAAATCCCGACACAATGGAAATATAAACACTTTGCTGTTAATGTGATCCTTTATTGACTACTTTCCCCCACACTGGCTTTTTCAAGTCCAAACAGATTTTTTTTGGACTTGAAAAAGCCCACTGTGGGGGGCGAAAACGATAAAAAAGGATACATTATACGCATTGTGTTTATTTGAGGAGATTTCTGTTATTTATTTAAAATTTAGGTACAGTGATGTGCTGATTTATATTAAGTACACCAGGACAAAGTTGCCCAATCTCCGAACTTTTAATTTAATTTTTTTCAAAAAAAAGTGAATGCATATGAAAGGGGGTAATTTAGTGAATAATTAAAAAAAAAAAGCTCTGCCCACGTTTTTGTTCATAAAAAGAGTTTCGTAGGGAAGTAAAGAAATCATAGCCGAGCGGGGAAAATCTAGTAAAACGATGATGATACGTCACGCATTCCACTACAGACTGTGTTTAAAGGCTGGGAAGGGCTGGGTATGATTGGGAAAGGGAGGCCCCCAGGTGAAGAGAAGCTACAAGTAACAGTGTGGTTTCTCTGCTG